GGGGGGGGGGGTATTCAATAAAAAGGCACGAGCCGGCAGTTTGTTGCGTGACAGTGTGATTAGCAGCATCATCATTGCCGGGGGGACAGAGCGCGCGCGAAGGGCCAACGCCAACAAGGAAAATGCTCACATTTCCTGATGTGCTTTCTTTTGTCTAGATAATTGGACGAAGCTAGACAGGCGCAGGCAGTCGTTTTGTCACAATATGGTGGAAACGATTTTTTTTTTCAAGTGTTTGCACGGTGAAACTTTTTTTTCCCCCATGAGATATTATTTACGATCGTTTTTATATCATTCTGGTGTCGAACGAAATACGGCGTTAAAGGTGGATACAGAGTTCTCTAAAAGCGATCGCTTGCGTTTCATGAACTCTGTATCCACACTAAGTTATTTGGGACTTCAACGAAACAGGTGAGATGTTTTCAAAACAAACCCATGGCGTGTTCTTCGAGAACAAAACAATAAAAAGTACACACTGTGAAAAATAGTAGAGAGGTTTACAGGGAAAATTTTCCTAGACGCAAGTTGTAAAATTACAATTTGAAATCGTAAAAATACACATTCAGTTTACGTTGTCTTTTGAGAATATTTTTTCTTTTGATTACATGGCATATCCTTATCATATAAATGATATTTTCTACTTCTGCGTATCATCGCATCGTATAGTGTAGGGGAAGCAGGGGTAAATTTGCTACTACACTAGGCTAACCGGGAGAGAGAGAGAGAGAGAGAGGGGGGGGGCGGGTGCGACAACACGCGGCAATCTGGGCGCCTTTTCTCCTAAATGTGTATCATTCCCAGGTTGATGACGGGTGCTAGCTAGCGCTAGCTAGAGGCTATGTGCCAGGCCAGGCGCGCAGGCGGTCTCACTTAGCCGCGCGCGCGGGGACGACCGGGGACGACCGGGGACGATAGAGGAGCCGGGAGGAAGATGTGCCTTTCTCTCTCTCTCTCTCTCTCTCTCTCTCTCTCTCTCTCTCTCTCTCTCCTCAGAGACCACAGACTGCAAATTAAGAGCGGTGACGCCCTGCTCTGCTGGAGGCGCGCCGCCTGGAGAACGCTATGCGGAGGATTAGAATTACCATGAGGCTAAGCTAACGCGCGGCTGAGGCCAGCAGGCGTGCGCTGGTGGTGACGGCAGGGGGGCCTCCTCCTCTCATTGCATGACCATAACACCGCAAATCTGGAGCGTGCGGACTACAGGATAGTGTCGCCGACTGCAGGCGCTACTGCTGGAGAAAATGAACGCGCTGCTGGAGAAAACAGACGCTAATGTCTCAAGTGATCAACGTCTGCCGCGAGCCTGACCGCGCGTCGTGAATCCTTTGGATAAGGCTATGTTCGAAGGTTTAGCAACTACTGCAAATTTGGAGCAAAAGCAGAAGTAGTGTCGGACCGTAGTGTTGAACATTTCGAAAGCTGTTAAACCTAGTAAGTTATTTTGGTCCAACCCACTTTCAAGTATTTTAATTTACGTGTGTTTTGAGCACTGCTTGCAAATTAGCTCTTTGCCAGTTGAACACTTTAGATCCATCAGTGTACGGGGAAAGCTCTTTTATCTCATTTTATTTTATATTTTTAGAAGAAATTAAGGTGCTTTATAACAGACGCGCGAAGTTGAAGATGCGCCTTAATGGCTGTGCGACGATTATGATTGAGGCTTTTTCTTTTTGTTTCTCTCACAGTCAGTCTCTTTATTGTTGTTCCCTCGCATTGAGGCAGGCGCAGCGCCGCAAACGACCTCCTCTCTACTCTGCGCCCTCCTCCTCGTCGTCCTCAGCCCTTTTTTCAATCGCAAATGGGCTGTCAATCATGAAGGCTCCCAACTGCAGCAACAGCAGCGGGTCGGGTCGCCGCCCCGCAAGAGGGATGGTGGAGTGCGCTCTAGAGTGCGCCGCTGGAGCGCTCTAGAGCGCACTAGAGCGCACCGGAGCGCGCGGCACCGCCGCTACTACTTGTTAGCTCCCCGTGATGGAAAGCGAGGCAAGTCGACCAGGTAATTACAGATTTGGCATTTCACCGTCGGTGGCGTCCCCGGTTCCCGGCCTCCCCCCTTCCCCCCCACCGGGGTGGTTACGGTGGTGACCCCCTCGATACCCCCCGGCGGCCTACGGTGTGACGTTTCCGCCGGCACGAACGCTCATCATCGGTTTGTCGCACCCAGGGGAAATAATTTTAAGGCAGGATTCAGAGCTCCCAAAAACGGCGAACGCGCTATTCTCACGATAACTCTCTTGATAACTTTTGCAGTAGTGATGGCGGGGTATGTTTTCCATGGAAGCACTCCGCCTGCGCGAGTATAGTGTTCCACGGATGAATGCAGATGAAAAGTTTGGACGGCGATCGAGCAGTGGACGCGCGGCAGGCAGAGGGGCGTTAGTCACGACCGACCGGAGGGCAAGCGCAGAACTTCTGCAGGCGCCGCCGCCACCATCAGCAACGTGAAACCGCTGTGACAGGAATAATTTTACATTAAAAAAAATAATTCTAGGTGTCTTATAAAATTCGCCGCCGGTGGCACCCCGGTGTGGAGGATACGACATACCTCGGAAGAAACGAAAGGAGTAAAAGGGACTGAATGACTCAGATCCCGTCCAGAGAGAGAGAGCGAGCGAGAGGGAGAGGGAGTGAGAGAGAGAGAGAGA